ATCAACATGTACAGGGCCATCAGTTGCTCAGGAGACCTCATCCCTTCCTGTGGGTTCTTAAACCCCCTTTTTTAACAGGAGGAGCCAGCAGCTTACGGAGGCCTCGGAAAACATCTCCCTCAGCATCAGCCAGGGTCTTCCCTTGCTCAAAAGTGATGAGTTTGGAAATTTCTTTCTGAAAATGGAAAACACAAAGTTTACGAATGTTAGAAAAGTGGTCACTCATGAAATAGAGTGCAAGGATAAGACAGAATTAACAGAGAGTTGAACACCACAGTGAATAAACTGAACAGAACACAGAAAAACCTATACTGACTGATTTGCTCCTTGCAGACAAGAAGCCAATAAGCCACATAGATGACATTTTAGAAAAAAATCATCCTAGGGTGGATTGTATTCTAACGCTTTCAGGTATTACACCACATTCACACTAAAAAAGCAATCAGGGAAACCCAAAAACATTGTAACATACTTGTCTTCATCAACTGGCACATGTTCCATCAAAGTTCCTTCTGTGGTCTCCTGGTAAAGGGACAAATTCGGAATAATATTCCCTAAGAAGCGCTGCCTCTCTGTTACCATTTGATGGGAAGTGTTCTGCTGCACCTCTCAGCAGTGTCTCAGTTGGCTCCTTGATAATGGCAACACCTCATCAAGAACTCTGTAAACCCCGAGTCTCTCAATTTAGTTCCTAAAATCAGCTGCAATGCATTCAGCCATAGCCATCACACACAGCCATGGTGTCTCACCAGATTTTCTTTGATGAGTTGCTGATAACGCAGAAAGATTTGCTGGCGACTCAAAACAGATGTTTCTGACCAGTTCCAAAAAGCCTTTTTGCAAGAAGCCACAGCTGCCTCCATCTCACTGGCTGTGGCTTTTGGTACACGGCCAACCACCTGATTTGTGGCCTGAAAAAGAAAACAAATTGCATCAAAATTCAACTTTTCCCATCTGTCCCCACCAATCATTCAAGAGTCTTTCACCTAATATTCTTGTTCTACAAGGAGTTATACTTCTGAGGGCAGAACACAAAGGAGATGCCTTCCTCGACTACTCACAAAAGGCCTGGGCTACAATTGGAGTAGTTCTGAAAACCTGCACTCCAAATATCTTAAATTAGGCACTCAGAAAACTGCAAATGCAGTGCTGATTTCCAAGCTGGAGTTAAAGTGACTTGTCTATCTTGAAACTTCAAGTGAGTATAAGGCAAAAGTTTCTGTGGGCTGTGGTCTTTTCCCTCTCCATCATCTTGGTTCATCTGGCTGTCCCTCTTGCACATTAAATGAGGCAATATTCCTTTGGGAAAAGCAGTACATGACTGTGCAATTGCCATTGATGTTAGCTTAACTATACCCCAGGCCAAAGTACTATATTTACATACAACCTTAGTTCTACAGTATTTTAACTTCAAGCTTGTTGCCAGTTTAACCTCCTTCTAATGTTCTCTTAAAAATTAAATCTGCTTTGACATGATAAAAAATTTCAGATGTATCACTAAGAGAGAAACCACTCAAAACAAGAGGAAGAAAATTGAACAAGAACACTGGTTGCTAAATAGATGCCAAATGAGCTTCATAATCATAGCTTGCTGCTCTGATCATTTCCACAAAGCAAATGAAAATAAGAGCTATACAGAGAAGATTTAGAAATTGCTGTTTAAATGCTTACTAGGGAGGCCAGAAGGATCAGAATTCTGAGTGCAACCTCATTTCCATTTGTCTTTGGTTGAGTATGTAGACAATACATATGTCACTTACCTATTTTGCACTGTGTAGCATCCAACTTTTAACCTCTCTGTGATTATTATGGGTCACAGATAGAAGCTCTGAATGGAGAGGAGCTTCAGCTGTTAGGATTTTTTACCTTTTTACTCTGAGAGTAATATCAGTCTCTATCAGGATTTCACATTTGGCTGGCATCAAATCACACCCAGTTGATTTCATATACAGAGTGAAAGACACCCTTCAGAAATCTGACACACTCATCACAGAGCCTTTCTATGAGAAAAAAAAATATAGCCATATATATATAAAAATATATCTCCTTTCTGGAGATCAGGGGCTTACTATGTGAGGGAGGTAAAGGAGATAGTAACTTTTCTGAGACTGACATTTCATGTGAAAAGGAAACTGAGAAGCTGTAGTCTACCTTAAGGTCCATGTCTAAACCTTTCTCAAGAAATGTATGTATGATTTTCTTCTGTCACACCCTGAAGAGAGGCACAGACCTTTGTTTCACAGTGATCACTATTTATATAAGCTGAAACCATTTCACTTACCGGGTTGTGGATATCAATCCATTCAGTAGTTTTGGACTCAATAAACTTCCCATCAATGAAGAGTTTGGTTGTCGGCTGTGGAGGTCAAAACACTGGACAGTGAGTTATTTTTGTCTCAATGTGCCTAAATACCAGTGTGCCATATTACATGCAAGCCTTCATATTTACTGCTGTGTGAACCACTAGAGAGTCTATATCCAGCCTCCACAGCAGGACCCAGCTAAGTGCTCTCTGCCCCCTTTTTCTCTCACTTTACACCAAAATGACCAAAATTCTTTCTATAAGCAATTATAGAAAAGATACATTGCTCTGCTTAGGTTCAGAATTATTTAAATCTATTTAATCAAAACCTGAAAACCTGCAAGTCATAAATGTTGAGAAGAAACAGTTAATAATTCACTTAATGGGAATTCTGTGAACTCAGTGCAGACTGTACCACTGTTCCATGTGCCTTCTTCCCGTCAAGCCACTAAGCAGGTTCATCTCTCCAGTTCATAGCTTCCAGCAGAAAACTGGACTTTCCCCACCCCCTGCTTGGTCTTGCAACTAAGAGCAAGGAACCTGCATCTGTGGACTGTCCTGGCTGGCAGCACAGAAACCAGAACTTTCCCACTCAGACGAAGAGGAGGGACAAGGAATGTTTGGAATAAGGAGTTCAGGCAAACATTGAACAGAACAGAAAGCAGAGGTAAAAGCTGTAATTAGCATTAGCTAGGCAACAAAACTGTTGCCTATGCAGGAAAACAAATTGTGACTGTATAAATGAAGAAACTAGAAAAGAGGAGTTGACAGTGGGAGGTAAGGAGAGAACTAGGAGAAAGCAAGAACCAGTTAATCATGACACAAATCCATGACTTGGGGAGAAGAGGTAGGAGAAAGGGGAAATGGATCTTCTGTATGAATAATAGAAATGGAACAGATCAACGGAACTGGGATATAAACCCAAATTATGCAAAAACTGAAGAAATTATAATGTGGAATTATGAAAGGGAGATAAGAACTTGGATGCTATCCAAAGTGTAATGGAGAGAAAGAGATCAGAGGAAGAATCAGGAACATAAATGGTATTGGGTGGACAAGTAATAACAGTGAAAAGTGGATGAAAATGAAAAATTGAGTAGCAATGTTAGTTGGAACAAATTGGGAAAGCTTGGAAATGAGAAAGCTAGGATCAGAAGTGTAAAAGAAGTCTGTTAATGGCCAAGCAAGACCTAATGATTTGGAAAGCAACACTAGGAGAGAATTAAAATGAAGAAGTTGCAGATGATTATGTAGCTGGAATCACAGCTGGGGAAGAGAGGCAGAACTTTGTGCCTATGAAAACACAATCTCCTCTAGAATGTGGAAGGAAGCACAGGAAATCTGAGTCCCTTGACTGAGTTTCCTGTCAGAAAAGCTGCTGGTCTAGTGCTGGTGCAAAGAATGACAAACTCCTATAGCTATCAATCACTCCATTAGCCTCAGTGCCATGTATGGAGCTCCAAGCTACAGTGCTTTATGACCCACATGGACTTCAGTGCAATGGAGTTCATGTTTTTTTTCAAATTGCTTAAAAAGGGTATCTCAAAAATTGAACATGCAACAAAAAATATTTTAAGCAAGCCAGGAAATGCTGAATTAAGATTAATTGCACTTTTCCCATAAGATCGCCACCTTTTTTATGTAGAGAATACACCTGCTGTGGAAACATGGACGGTAGTAAAGCAGGCTATTTGCGGAATCCTGGTTTGGAGTTCGGAGTGTGTGCAGCCATAGATAGCGGAGGAAAAAAGGCAGTACAACAACTAAAGCTGTTCGATACTGTCCGAAGGAAATCAGATCCTCTCTCAGTAGCAAACAGATGCCATGAGGCCAGTCCAGAGCCAGCAGGAGTAACGCGAGGTGACGGGCGGCCACCGCTCAGCTCCGAAGTCTGACAAATCGGACATGCAACTTTTTTCTGTCCCTCCCGTGGAGCACGGGGGCAGTGCCGATGTTTGTTTCACCGGACCCACCGAGGCTCCAGCCGAGGCGGCGGGAACGGCTTTAGCAGAGCAGACCCGAGGGAAGTGTCCGGCGGGCTCCGGCGGCCGCGCCCGGGGCTCTCCCGCGCCTCCCTCCCCCGCCCACCGGCTCCGCTCCGCGGGACGGGCACTCACCACCGAGGAAGAGAAGGACGCGGCGACTGAGGTGATCCAGGGGGCACTAGCTCTCCGCGGCAGCTGGACCGGGGGGAAGCACAGATCACCTCAGGGTGGGCCAGGCAGCACCTCCCCCCGACCCCCCCTTCGGCGGCTCCCCGCCCGGGACCGACCCCCCCCGCGGGGTCCCGACCAGGTGAGCCGCGACCCCCTGCGCCCCCGAGCCGCGGGAGCCGCCGCGGGCCGGGGCGGCCGCCTCACCCTGAGCGCCACGCGGCGCCGCCCGCCCCACGCTCCGCGCGCCGCCGCCGCCGCCGCCGCCATCCCGACCGAGGGTCGCTGCTCCGAGGGCCCCGGCGGCGCCCCCCGCCTCGGGCCCCGCCCCAGCGCGGCTGGCGGCCAATCGCCGCCAGCAGCCGCTCCGGCCCCGCCCCGAGAGGGGCCCGCCCCCCGTGCCGGGCCGCGGATTGGCGGAGCGGGCCGAGCCGCCCTCCTAGCTTCACGGTCCGGCCTCGCCCGGCCCCGCGGCGGCCGCGAGAGCGGCGCGTGGGGTTCGGGGGCGGCGCTTGCTTGCCGCTCCCGCTCGGCCTCGGCCGCGGCCGGTCACGTGAGGCGCGCGCCATGGCGGCTCCCGCGGACGGTGAGGCGGGAGGGCCGGGCGGCACCGCCGCTCCCCCACACGGCTCCCTGCCCGCCCTCCCCTCACCCCCTCTCTCTTGCAGGCGCCGACCTGGAGGCCTCGCTGCTGAGCTTCGAGAAGCTGGACCGCGCCTCCCCGGACCTGTGGCCCGAGCAGCGTGAGTCCGGCGGGCCCGCGGCTCCGAGTTTGACAGCTCGGGGTGGGGTGGGCTGGGCGGGGGTGGTGAGAGCCCGAGCGGGGCCGGGCCTCCTTGGGGCAGCTGCACCCGTCAGGCTGGGCCCGCCGCGGCCGGGCGGGGTGGCGGTGCTGCCCGCAGAGGTGCTCACCCCCAGCCAACCTCTGCTTTCTCTTCCCAGTGCCCGGGGTTGCCGAGTTCGCCGCCTCCTTCAAAAGCGTGAGTGAGCGCTGCCTTGCCTTTCGCGTTTCCTCCTTCTGTGTGATGGTAGAGCTGCAGGTTCTCTTGCGGGCTTTACATCGTCTATGAACCGTATCTCAGTAATAACTCCAGTATATGCTACAATATAATTTTTGGTTTTAATGTATTTTTTTATATATGTGTTTGTTTTTTATACCTTATGCACTTTACTGTGTATGAGAATTGTACTTTGGAAGAAATAAGGGGTTTTAAACTTAAGAAAATCATATTTTCTGTACTGATTTTTGGCTTGTGAATGGTAGTATGCCGTTTTTAACTATAAAATGTCCAGGAAAAAAACAAGATTAAACATAAAAGCTCTGCAGAGCACACTGTTGTATTTTTGCTAGTCAATGTAACTAGATTTCAATACAGATTATATTTCATTGTGTAATTCTAAAAATTGACTTTTCTGAATATGAACTTCCAATTTTTTTTTCAAAACAGCCCATTACAAGTTCTCCTCCCAAGTGGATGGCTGAATTAGAAAATGATGATATTGATATGTTGAAGGGTGAGTATGAATATTGCGGGCAGGAGTTGAGGTTGCCGAAGCAGACGGGAATTCAGCAGTTACTTAAGAGGCTTAAAAGACTTGTTTTTTAAATGTTCTGGTGGTGGCCCTATGGCCTGAGGGCCTCTAGCCATCATATTTGCAGAATCTCCAGCTCAGAAGTCTCTTTATCATGTTATTGATAGACATTTTCATTAAACCAGTTATTTCCAAGAGCCTCTCCAGATGTCAGTGGCAGGCTGATTTTTCAAAACGAGCAGTGTAACACTGTGCATATTTCAGTCACCTTGCTTAGCCTTTTTTATCACTGTATTAGTACAGCAAGTGTCTCCTGTGTTTTGAGAATTAGCATTTTGGAGGGGCTCAGCTCAGTTGCTGAGTAGCTTAGACATGTTGATTGATTTGTTCAGAGATGCTCTACGTGTGCATCTTCCCTCACAGATCCAGGAGCTCTAATGCAATGGTGAGGCTGTATGGGCAGGTTACAGAAGGATTGGCTAGGATGTGCTTTTGCTGCATGTTGCAGCTGTTAGTTTGCAGTAAACATCCTGCAGCATGCTCTGCCTCTTGTGAATTACGGATGGTGACGTGCGATCGTGTCACGGCTACAAAGTGAAAGGGAGATGAATGAATTCTGACTTTCTCCAAGAAATATGCTTCAACTCACATTATTAATGTAAAATAAGTCCATTCCCTTGCATACTTTTGTGTAGCTTGTTCATGTTACAGTGTGAACTTACAGGAACTTCCAAAGTATGGGTTAAATTATTCTCTGCAATGGTGGCAGATTAAAGCATGAACTTGAGTCATGGCTTTCTCCTTACGATAAAATTAGGAGTGGAGTCAGGTTGAATTTTGAACATACACTGTTCACTGAAACAGATCCTGACAGAAGTATGGCTTGAAAGTGTTCTGTGAGGTACTAAACAGGTGAACTGCTACTGGAAGATGATAGACAATGTTAAAATTCATCTTTTTCTCTCTTCTTAAGAGTTGGGGAGCCTCACTACAGCTAACCTGATGGAAAAGGTTCGGGGCCTGCAGAACCTGGCTTATCAGCTGGGACTGGATGAATGTAAGTGCTGTACACAGATGTGACTGACTGCAATGCAAATCTTTCCACTAAAGCATGTGCTTGTATATTTGTAGCTGGAAAAGTGTGTTGGCAGATTTGGCAAGTGTTTGAGGTCAGTTAGTAACCTCCTGCAACAGGATGGGAGAATGAGCTTACATCTGACAACTTACAGCCTACCAGCATGGGTGAAAACACGTATGTCAGTCTGGTGTTACCCAGTGACACAGAGATTTCTGTTCCTGAGTTAACATTGTCTTACATAAAACAGGTCACTGCTTAATTTCCCACTCAGATGCTAAAGGTCTTAGAATACTTGTGGCAGTACTCCTCTCAAATTTCATGCACTGCCTCCACAGTGAAATTTGCACTTGTGTATAGGATTCTCCTTTCACTTTGTTGTTCATACTGTTTTCTGCTTCTGTAGTTGTTACTTTTTCTACACTCATTTGTAGTGGGAAGTGATGTCATTGAGTAATAAAGATGACTGTCATCCCAATTGCAAACAGCCAACTCTTACTGTGTTTTTTTGAAGAAAGAGCTCCTTTCATTGTTTCATTTAGGATTCTTGTTACCAGATTGATCCAGCTTTGAGGATTTCAAGAGTATTGTGGAGTTGTTTTCAATGCTACCCATAAATATTGACACATTTTTTTTCTGTTTAGTTATGCTCTAACATAGACCTTGGTTGCAATTACTCTTGGACTACACAAAGCACCAAAAGTTTCAAGTCTTTCACCTTCCTTTCAGTGGGTAACACAACTTAGTAATAATAAACCTTTAGAGTCTTTCTGACTTCAAACCTAGGATAGCCTAGTGCATTCTTAATAACATATCATTAAACTTATTTTAACTTACTTCGAGTTTATTTTACTTTCAGTGCTAACATCTGTTCAGACTGTGTAAAACATTTGGTGCAGTAGAAGTTGAAGTATAACAGTGTAAGACTGAGTCAAATGCAAAGATTGGTTGATGATTTGCTTTCTTAGTTAAGTTGTAGGCCCTGATGTCAGTGTTGTTCTGCTAGATGAACTTTAGCAGAGCCTGAGTTGCAGTAAAGCTAGGGTTATGTTTGTTTCCTTATTGCATGTGTAATATTTATTGCACGTGTTTCCATTTATTTGTACTGAACGCAAGTGCAGACATAAAGAAGACATAGTGAAAACTGAAATATGTTAGGCTCAACAGTTATAACTTAAGTCTTGAATTTTCAAGCTTTATGAAAGGTTTCTGTGCTTTTAACTTCTTGTCACTAAAGGCAGTTTTCCTTTACACTGTAATCCATTGAGTATGTTGTGTGTGGTAATAGAGATTTATCTTTGGAAAATTTTCCCCAAAAATTAGTTGTGGAATTTGAACAGAAGCTGCTCAGAACTTTTTCCTAATACTGTCCTTAGGTTATTTTCTCTTACAGACTTAGATAAGTGAAAGAACAAGAAAAAAATTCAAAATATCTGTTCATTAGAGTTAAGGGACTTGTGGTTTTGTCTCAGACGTATTGGGTTTGGTTATACCTCTGTACTGAAGTTTACTAGTCTTCTTTTGACTTGGCTGGTTCATTGAAACTGGCTGTCAAAAGCAGGACAAAACCCACTGCTGACCAGTCTCCTCTAGATGGCAGCATGAGGCCTCCCGCAGAAATCTTGCTTCTTTTTTTATAAAACTCTGGCGTTTCAGTTATGGTTTGAAGCTGTTCTTCTCACGATTGTTTTTTGTGATGTATTTTATCTTCAGAATGTATTTTTTAATGGTATTTTCAAGTGTTTCATCAACGGTGAGGTTGAGAGACAATTCTGCTTCAACGTATTATTATTGCTTTTCCTTCCAACTCTTCTCTTCTAGATCCCACCTCAAATCCTTAATATTTTCAAAGACTTTTATTTTTCTCCAAGTTCCTAATTACATACTTCGCAGGACCAAGGTGATTCCTGGAGCACTCCATGAAAAATGTATCTGTTCAATGATGTTACAATCATGTTGTGAGATCTGTTATTGTTATACCCTGTTCACAACATCCTTTACATCAGTTTTGCATTAGAATTCATTATGCAAAGTGCTGTGGGACTGGGTAGCTTTTGAAAAGTTTCTTTATTGAGATACTATTGCAACATTAGCATTGAAATCTGAATAATTGATTTGGCATGATGTAGATTGATAAATTAATAATTACTGAGTTACATGCCTTGTTTCTTGAATCCCTACGAACTCTGTTACTATTTTGTCTATATAAGTGGTCTTTCTTGACAAGTTTGGAACAGATATATTGAATGTTTTGTCCATCTTGATGGGACATCTGAATGGCTTTCATCTAGGAACAGTTGAATACTGTTACCTGAATTCCACATTTTTATTATCTACAATTCCAGCTGTCCCTAAGCTTTTGGCCATGGATTTCTCAGTTCCTCTTTTGGTTGTGTGCTTTTCACAGATTTCCTTTCTCTACAACTGACTTCCTCCCCACTTTCTCCCATAGGCTTACCTTTGCTTTCTGTAACCCTGGCTAGCTTGTTGACTGCTCCATGGCTTCTGTGAATCAATTTAATTTGTCAACATGTAATTTAGCTTTTCTTTCCAGCTTGTTGATCCACTTTCTTCCTGGCATGCTAGTAGGTGCATTCTTGTTCAGCCTATTCCTTCCAGAATATTAGCACAGGATTCACATCAAAGTATAGCTTTCTTCAAATGAAGCAGGATTTTTGTAGCATGAAGCATGTTTTTTAAAAAATTGTTACCTTTCTCTTTAAGGACAGGCTTGGGTCTTTTTTGTGTATTTGTTCTTTGTTAAAAAGTGATTCTGGAGTTCTCTAGAAGCTTCCAGGCTCAGGTCCTTGTATCAAAAAAGTATTTTAAAAATAAGTTATTTTTCAGCACTTCTTCTGAGGTTTCAGCTTGTGTTTCCTTGTCTGCTTTTTAAGCTCTGTGAAATTCTACCTCATCATTTTGCTTATAGCTGCTTTTCTCTTTTTGCTTTGGTTCTTAGAATCACAGAAATATTTAGGCTGGAAAAGACTTCCAAGATCACAAAGTCCAACCTTCTCACATTATAGCTCCTATTTTCCTTCTGTTAATTTGTTATTTTATTGCTTAGAATAATCAAAACCATTTTTAGTATTAAAAGTCTTCCTTTGTGTCAATTTTACTGTTCCTGTTAATGTGGGTATTTTAAGGGAGAAGGAATTTGGCTTAATGAATATACTGACTTTTAGTTGTTCATACAGTTAGGGTGACTTTGAGAGGCATAGTAGCTCTTCTGAATGTGAGCTGCAGCCACTCGGTGAGTCTCATTTCTGAGTTTGGGGAAAAAAGGTATAAAAGCCTTGTTATGAACTTTTTTCATCCCCTCTGTGTCCTTTAATTTTTCCACTTTCAGGCTTTGCTTGGAGTGGAGTAGTGAGCACTGCAGGATGAGCAGACCCCAGCTAATGTGACAAGCAAGAGGGAAATAGTTCTTTTTTGGGAACCCAGTCACAGACCCCGACTCAATGTTTGTGGCCCACAAAGCAGCAAGTTTCAAAACACTTAATGTAAATAACTGCAAGTTTAGATTGGAAGCTCTGTTTTTCTACTGTATGACCCATTGCACCTTTTGGAGCAATGTCAAAGTCAAAGAGTCAAAGCTGACTGTAGAAGAATTTGAAGTCTTGATTTCATGAACTGGCAACTTTGAGAAGTCCATGCATTTAAAGATGTACCCTGTAATCCTTTGGGATATATGTATACAGAGAGATGTGTCTGAGAGCTACATATACAGGGAAAATGTTTTTCTTATAAAAAAACCTTAAAGTTTGTTTTTTTTCCAAACTTCAGAAAGAAACTTACGTATAAAAATAACAGATACGTAGGACGGGAGAATGGGAAAAGCATTCTGTCACTGAAGGAATGTGGTTGCCTAGGGACTTTTTGAAGGCCCTGCTATTGTTTCCCTGTGAATCTCTGATACTTTTCAGATAACTATATGAACCACTATGCTATACTGGTTCAGAAGTCCTGAAATGTAAGTATAGATAGCTGATATCACAGCCATGTTTATAAAATCTCACTGATGCCAGAATGATTATCTGGCCACTATGGTATCACAGCAGAGCTCCAGTGACACTGTCAGTGTGACACTTACTGCAAAGTCTGTTCTTCTTAAGCCCCAATATCTTTGTGAAGGTAATGCTGCCTTGGTGCTGTGTGTGCCTTAAATATTAGAAAATGTAGGATTACTGACTAAACAGGTATGAATATAATTTATAATTTCCCTGCCTTTGATTTTTGGTGGTCTAATCTCTTGTGTTAGATTAAACTTTTACTTGGAGTTGAAGGTAATTTGTGATGTTCCTGCTGTAAAATTAGGAATGGCCGTATTATCCCATGTCAAATCCTCATTCTCTTTCAAGAGCAACGAGACAGTTCCCAAATATGCTCAACCAAGTCTCCTTATTTCTAGTTTTCTGTGGTTTTGTGCACCCCAGCTTTCACTAGGCTCTAGCAACTTTGCTCTTATTTTCTTTGTAACTGATTTATTTTCCATATATGTTCAAGCAAATTTTTTAAAAAAAGGGTGCTGTGGAAGAGCTGTTTGATTAAGGGCCCACAGATTAGACCTGGATGACCTGGGAGATTGCAGGTGAACAGTAAAAGGTTGGTCATCTTTTAGCACCAGACTGATAGAGGAAAAGCCAGTCCAGGTTTAATCAGTCAGTGATCATTTTCTTTGATATGAAGAATAAGTAAATGACTAAGGTTTTTTGACCTGGAGAGAAACAGCTCATGTAGTATGTGAAAAAGGTCTGTAAAACAATAATGCAGAGAAAGTGTGAATAGGGAATGTCTCCTCACTGTCTCTCATAGTATGGGAACCAGAGAGAATAAAAGAGTCTATGGGACAGACATGAGGAGATACTTGTGTTGTGCATTGAATTTAGAGCACATCACCACTGGAGCTTTTGGGTATGGAATTTCTCACTCAGTAATGAGAAAAATGATTGGAAGATAAATCCTTCCTGGGTGTCTGCTGC